CCCCCAAAACACACCTGAAAACATAAGAGGAAAGAGACTGGGGCAAAGCAAACCTCTTTTCTGACAGGTATTGATATTTTGCTCCCACCACTGTATGATGATATCAAACCCAGGGTAACTAAGGGTGGCCTAGCATTCCTAGTTGCAAAACTACAGATAACTATGCAGCCAATCTCAGAGGACTGTTGCATGGAACAAGACAGCAGGCCTAGGTTCTCCTCCCGTCTAATAGAGGTTGCCAACACAGATAAGTTTTGTGGAGACATAAAAGGGCTTGGATCAGGGTGTTAACACTCTGGAGACGGCCCTCGGCGAGTTGTTTAACCTCTCAATTTTGGTTTTCTTATCTATGAAACGGCAGGAGCATCAATTTTGAAAAGCACACAGCAGGAACACAGAGAAAGGTAATGCTGATACCTTGGTATGTTGCTGACCTCCCATGATCCCTTTCAGGACCTGAGGTCAGGCAGATCCCTAGGGAACTGGCTGAATTGTAAAGCTGAGCCCCTCCAGGTGAGCTGAACAAGATACCTAAGTTCTCAGCCTCTACTGCTGGTTTGGAGGCTAAGGGTGAGAGGCACAGGCGCTCCCCAGACTCCTCACAACACATCAGCCCTTGCATGATCCTACAACACTACAGAGTCAGCTCGGAGGGGGACGGGGTAAATCTCCCATGTATAAATCCATGGATTAGAAAGGCTAGGTTTCATCTAAGAAACAAACACAAGGGTATAAATCCTGTTTGGCAAGTAAAGCTTTTTAAAGAAATAACCAACGGAATCATAAAGAGTAACCCAAAACTATAAGGCAAAATCTCAAAATAAAATACTATTTTTAAATGTTTAAATGCTATTATTACCTTAGTGAAACAATCTTTTTCTCCCCACTTACTCTACCATGGACCAGAGGTGGGAGTGGGGGAAGAGATCTTGTCCCAGACCTGTGTCAGTCCTGGCTAGCTGAGAGGTCTCTGGTGAAGGAGAATAGTGTAGGTTTGGAATCAGCTGGTTTCTATCACTGCCTACCTTATATAGCTGAACCTCAGTTTCTCATCTAGGAAAGAAGGAATTAATTACCCAGCCTATCTCAGGGGACTGTTGTACAGCTTAAGTTAATATGCATTTAAAGTCATTAACATGAGAGCTCACTAAATGATCTGTGTTAGTTCTCCATTGAAACACCCCACCTTCTCATTCCACACAAAAGCTCAAACTTTTCCTCTTTGCCCTGCCCTCAGGTCTCTCTTGCAGACATTTCTAAGGGCACTAACCAGAGAGAAAGCTGAATTGTGTCTTTTAGGTAGGTCTACCCCCACCCCCACCCCCAGGTTCTCTCTATGAGAGAGGCAAAGATCTGGTTGACTGAAGCAGAGGGCATGGAACTGGAAAGCAAAGAGAACCATAAGAAGAAAGATTAGAGGGGCAGCCTTCTCAACATCTGTCCACATGTGCTCAGACACACTCCTAACACAGTCACTGAACACGTCTGTGCCAGAAAACACCCATGCACTTTTCTTAGATTAATGTTAATAATCCATGGGTAAACACACACACACACACATACACACACACACACACATACACACACACATAAAATCACAATCCCCACTTTACATATAAGCAAACTGAGGCACCCACAGAGCCCATAACCTCTTCAGGATATCAACATGGAGGAGCTGGATGTAAGTCTCTGATTTTGTCTATTTATTTATTTATTTATTTATTTATTTATCTATATATTTATTTATTGGGGACTTAGACTTATTGGGGACCTCGACTGGTCTGAAACTTGGAATATGTAGTCCAAGGTGGCCTTGAACTCACAGCCTCAGCCTCTTGTATACTAGGATTTCAAGCATACCAGACTGAGCCTGTGATGTCATCACCATTTAATATGCTCTCCCTTCTGCAGTGCAGATCACTCATCAGCCGGATATTAAGGGGCATTGACTATATGCACAGCACTGTGCCCATACTGAAGCACAAGAGACAAGTGAAGACTGAGTCCCAAGGGATCTGGAAGGAGGCATCCTCAAAATGCAGTTCTCTGCAAGCATTAGGTAAGGCGGCAGCTCCATCATCAGACCCCACTAGAAAGGCAAAGGGGGTGGGGGCGTGGAGGCCAGCAGCCACCCAGTGCTAATAAGGAGCAAAGGTTGGAAGAACTGGATGCCACCTCCTTCCTGCCCTGCCTGGGTGTTGCAGATGAGTGCCTGTGGCACCCAGTACTTGCTTCATGTCTCCCTTTGCATTCCAGTAGAAGGCTGAAGATGGAGTCAATAAAAGTCAAGGGGAGACCTGATAGCTTGGTTTCTGCCCCCCTTCCCCTACAACTACCCCAGCTCAATACCCAGCTTCAGGCAGAAGTAGGACATTCAGATTGTGTGGCATGCATATGTGTGCAGAACAGAGCTGTGGAATCCCGGCTCACTGTTCTCTGCCAGGATCTAACTGTGCACAGGGAGCTAAATGCTGGAAACATAGGAGGCCCTTGGGCCTCTTTGTTTTACCCCTTAGTCTCCTTGGAGCAAAGGCAGAACAGACAGGAGGAGCTTGGGGTGAGGGGGTGCCAGAGCCACCAGCCTCAGGAGGCAGCTCCCACGGGAGCCATCCTGTCAGCCCACATTGCTCTGATTAACTACAATCCTTCCTTTTCAATTTCTCCTCCCTGAGACTAGGGAGGGAGAAAAATCTCCTAGAAAATGAATAAATATTTCAATTTTCAGCGCAATCAGTCTGGGGAGCCGGGGCGAGATGGACGCGGCAACGGGGGAGGGGAGAGATAATGGTTTTCATTTAGATAAGATACAGAAAATTATTTAGTAAAAAATGAAGATAGATGAAGCCCATCAAAAGTCTTTAGAATACGGTTTTTATTTCTCAGTGAGGCTGAATCTCCCCTTCCTAGCCCTTCTCTGTTCTCAGCTTTGCTGTTCCTCAGACTACCTCTCCTCTTCCTCACTTCCCACTACCATCCCTCTGCCTCCAGCTCACAGCTCCAACCACACTGTGTACTCTCTCCCTGCCTCAGCCTTAGCTTGTCAGTGTCCCCAGGTCCCCATTTTGCCCCTAAGTGTCTCCTCCCCAACCCTTTGCTGAGTGTCTATTCTGACTCCCCTCTCCCTTTCCCTTTGCTTTCCTCCCCAACATCCCACCTCCCAAACACACATCTGCACTCTTTTGCAGTTCTTACTTTCACCTCTGATACAGTTAAGTAGGCTGGATTTCAGCTGCCTTTCCCTAGCCACACCCACCCACAATGATGGACAGGTACATGGCAAGCATTTTTTTTTCTGACCTCCAGTCAGTCGGGATTTAAGCTACATGTCTCTCCTGTGTGCTAACTGCAGCTTCTGTTTCTTAAAGCTCATTCTATTTGGTTGGGGAATATGAGGGCTGCAAGAGAGGGGCAGATAGGTGCCTGCTTCTGACATCTCTCAGAACTGACACGGCTGCCCCTCACCCACCATGCTCTTCCCCTCCCCCTATCCAGCAACCTGGCTTGAACAAAGTCAGAACTTAACTTATCTTCCCAACTTTCTGCCAAGTGGCCAACCTGAGACCAGGCCTTCTTTCCTCCCTTCCCCTAACTCCACTCCTGCTCTCATACAAGGGATGTGCGCCTTCTCATGTTCTAAGAGGGTCCCGGGGCTCCAGTGAAGGAAAAGGAATCAAGACCTCTAAACTAAGCCAGGCTTTGCCTTCAGAGCTGGAGAAGGCTAGCAAAGAGAGGAGGGGTCCAGTGGAACACCCCACCCCCTACACACACACATAAGCACACACACACACACACACACACACACACACACACACACCATTCAGGAGAGGAAGAGAGCTGGCCAATGCCTGAGGCTCTTTCTGCGGATTCCCTCTTTCCAGATCACTCACCAACCCCAGTGAGAGACCACCTCCTCCATTTTGAAGACTGCACATCTCTGTAGGCGCCTGCCTATAAGAATGTCTGCCCAAGTTTCTTTGTTTGCTCCATGGCTGGGGTACGTGGAAGTAATTCTGTGTGAGTGGATGTTACATTCTTTGAATGTAGCAAACATATATTTACAGTTTAAGTTTGATGCCAGGGTCTAACTCGGCAAGTGTATGTCAGCTTAGAAGAGGAATCTTCCTTCTTCGGAGGTGTCTGTCAATCAGTGTCTTTGTGTGTGTCTGTCTCCATGTGGGGGATGTTTGTGGGGGATGTCTCCTTAGGTGAGTAGTCAGTCTCAATGTCTCTGTTGGAAGCTATCTGTGTGTCAATTTCTGTGTTCCAGTTCGGGGGAGGGGCTCAACAGTATTAAATCTTCCTTGGAGTCAGTCTCAGGAGGCAAGACTCTTCTGCAGACTCCAGGCCTGGCTGGGGTTTGGACCCTTGAATCCTTCACATGCATTTACCCAAGTGTACCTGAATACACCTCTCTCTCTCTCTCTCTCTCTCTCTCTCTCTCTCTCAGAAATCTGCACTTTCCTGACCCGAAGTGAGTGCCTGGTTCAGTAAACTCCCCCTCTCCTGATGAACCCAAACAACCCTGGTATCTGGACTTCTACGTCTCACCCACAGCCTCCAGGGCGGGGGACTGAATACAGCCTTCCTTTAAGGGGCAGCCCCAAGCAGTATGCAGCCGCACTTCAGATGAAGGTGACTGTAGGCTGGATTGGGGTAGCAGGATCCCTCAGCCTCATCTTAGAGAGTCTATGTCTGTGCTTTCTACGCACTCCACCCCCAAATCTGAAATCTCATCTCCTCCCAGCCTTTCTCTTGGCCAGGACCCAGGCCCTGGGCCCAGGAGGTGGAGGGATGGAGGGAGGACTGCCAGGAACTGGAGGAAAGACTTTCAGCACTCCGGTCCCTTTTCTACTCGGATCTCGGCTTTTGCGACCTAAGTTCTCTGTTCTCCCGCGCAGCCAGAGGAAGCAAGTTGGGCCGCTTCACCAAGAACTCCTCGGTGTTCTCCGGGTAACTCCGCGCCCTTTCCCTGGACTCCCCAGCCCAGGGCTGGGGCTTACCTTGTGAGAAAGTGTTGAAGAGAGTGAGGATCCAGATGAGGAGGCTCAGCATGCTGTCTGCCCGCCGCTGGGCCCGAGTCGGCGCGATCCCGGCCGCCGCTGGCTCTCTCTCCTCCCTCCCGCCCTTGCACACAAGGCGCACACTCGCTTGCCTCTCTAGCCGCCGGCCCGCTCCCCTGGCCCCTCCTCTCGTCCCGCGCCCCCTAATAATTTCTGCCCTCCGGCTTTATCTCTCGGGGCCTCTCTCAACCTCCCCGCCGCTCTCTCTCTCTCTCTCCCTCTCTCCCTCTCTTCCCTCTCCGGCTCCCTCCCTCTCTTCCTGACGTCTGCTCTCCCTCCGACGGCGCCTCCCTCCACTGCCCTCCCCTGGTCCCCCAACGCGCGCGCACACACTCTCTCCGCTCGCTGGAACCGAGATGGGAGGAGAGCAAAGAGAAAGGAATTGAGGGCAGAGGCAAGGGGTGGGGAGAACGCGGTGTCGCAGGCTCTAGAGCAAGGACCGCTGGGTCCTGGCCCACCCGTGCTTGGGGCAAGACCTACTTTTGCCCCCAGTGGTGTAACTGAGCCGGGCATGGGGTGGCAGCCAGAACTAACCTTCATCAATTTGGGTGACTGTTAGGAGAGGTGTGCTTTTATGCGTCTTGGGAAGGGGGTAAAATCTCTTTTAAAATCTCTTTTTCGTTTTAATCCTAAACCTCAGAATCTAACCCTAGATGCCTAAATTAAGAATTCTCAATTAACTCGATAGTGTTGGAGGGGGAGAAGCTCTCCTCGCAGACAAATCTCAGACTGGAGAAATCTTGAGTCTGTCTCTGAGTCCCTTCTGAGGGCTTCAGCCAGCCACGTTGAGGACTGCCTCAGCGTTGGAGTCCGTAGCAGCCACGAAGAGGCGCAGTTAACTCTTCCTTTGTTCATCCCAGACATCTATCTATCTACCCTGAGGGAAAGCCAACGAACTCCATGGCTTTTTCTTGTGCATCCCTGAAAGCTTGCCACAGAAGACAGCCACCGAGCGATCTCTAAGCACTCAGGAACTTGAGGTGCACTGGGGTGAAGAAGTGGATAATCGAAGTAGAAGTGCATTCTGAAGGTGCTCCTGTCCAGAGCCCAATGTAGTAGCCATCTCCTTCCCCAATACCTAAATAAATCCTTCTGCTCACTGGGCTTCTGAGTGAGTGTGGGAGAAATAATAGAGAAGTCACAGGAATTGCACAACTTTCCAGTTATGCAGATCTAGAGAGGTCTCCACCGCCTCCTTCTCAGATTCTAGATCTCCTGAGTCCCTAAAAGCTCCTGGCCAAGACAGCTTGATCTTCAGGTCTGGAACTAAGACATACAACTTTAGTGCCCTCTGCTGATATGAGATGGTCACAGTTCCTGCAAAAATCTTGAACAGATTGAGTGAGTGGTCCAAACACAATCTCACACAACTAGAGGACACAGAAACACAGTCAAAACCAACCAACCAAACAAACAAACAAACAAGCAAACCATAAGTTCATACTCAAAAGCATAATATGTAAGGACTCTTGAGTTCTCTTTCTGTTAAAAAAAATACTTGCAAACATAGGCAAAACCACAATTTTAAGATGGGGATATCTAATCCAGAGATTAAGAATGCCACCCCACATGGAGACAAGCATCCATACAAACACATGCACTCAGAGTTTTTAATTTATTCACTCATCAACTAGTCATTCAACAGATACTGCTTTGATATGGTTCAGTCACAAAACCAGTCAGAATACAAGTAAATAATACATACATACATACATATATACATACATACATACATACATACATAAATCTAAGTATAGTGGTGCATGTCTGTAAGCCTAGCTCAGGAGACAACGGTGGAGAATTGGCTGGGCATCATGGCTCACACCTTTAATCCCAGCACTTGGGAAGTAGGAGGTGGGCTTATCTCTGTGAGTGAGTGAAGGCCAGCCCAGTCTTCTTGGGAAGATCCAGGACAGCCAGGGCTTAAATAAAAACCTGTCTTAAAACAACGACACCAGCAACAACAAAGCAAACAACAAAAGCAAACAGTACTGTAAGTTCAAGGAGAACCCAGGAACTCAGCCTATGTAATGACACCCTGTCACAGTAAAAAATACACAGTAAAAAACGTTAAACTTCCTTTTAATGTTTCATTCAAGTGGGGGAGGGTAGTCTATGAAAAATATAGAAGTGCTAGATTATGTTAAATGTTAGGGGTAACAAAATAAAGGAAGAAAGGGGCAGCTTTTTTTCTATAAATGGTCAAGGAAAGTTGTCCTCCTTGGTAACATTTGAGAGTCATCTCTGCAAGCATATGAGGACAGAACATAGCAAACTGACAGGCACAGATGAAGTTCCTCAGGTCAGGGAATTCTGGGAGTGAAACAGCATTTCCCTTTTACTCTGAATGAGTACATGCTAGGAGGGGACCCTGAAACACAGGTAAAGAAAATGCCAGGAAGACCAACAATCCCAGCAGCAAGAGAACTCTCCCCTATGCCTTAGCTGGCCTAGTCCTCTTTAAATACAAACCTTCTCCAGCTCAGCCTGAAAGACTCTTTCCTCTTCAGACTTCTACAAGCTACTCACAGGTCCTAAAGTCCTATGCTCCTTTTCTTAGCAGTCCACAACACCGGACGTGTTAGGGTCTCCTCATAGACTTTTCTAGAACAGCTCCGAGACCCAGTCCTGAAAGGATGGATTGTTCTGGGGTGTTTCAAAGTATCAACTAGCATTACTAGTTTCAGTTCACTCCCAGAATTCCCTGACCTGAGGAACTGCATCTGTGCCTGTCTGCTTGGTATGTTCTGTCCTCAGATGCCTGCAAAGGTGAATCTCAAATGCTACCCCATGTGAGTGAGCAACTGGGGCTGAGAAAACTCTGCTCCCAGCATGCTTGCCCATCCCTGGCATGCATCTGCACTCTTCTGTCTATTAACATAACTGAGTAAGATCTGTTTCACACCCCTCCCCAGGGCAAGGACTGTCTGTGTCTCCTTAGTCTAGAACTTCTGAGAGTAAAGAAGCTGGCCTTTTATCTTAATCACTGAGCATAGTTGAAAGTGGAAAATACAGATGCTGAGCCAGAGAGAGTGGAAGTCTCTCTCTCTCTCTCTCTCTCTCTCTCTCTCTCTCTCTCTCTCTCTCT